GACCACTCAGAGGTGGAGTTTCGCTCACCTGGTTCCTCCTCGATCCTTAAGGACTCGCGGATAACCAAGTCCTCACCCCTTCCCCACACGACTCACTCCGCTCCACGCGACCCGTCTGTTCTTTCTCAGGCTCCACCTCCAGGGACGGATAAGGGGACTAAGGTGGGCCTGTGGCCTACCTGGGCAACAGCCCCAACAGGCCTGCCATCCCCTTTAGTCCAGAACATCCCTCAAAACCATTACAACCCTCTTTCCATATTTGAATCACACTTGCCATCCCTCCCGACCCAGCCTCTTTCCCCTGCCCAGATGTACTCCCGAGTCAGTAAGCCTTCATGAATGTGCATCTATGGAAGTGGTATCCAGGTCCCATGCCTTGAAGTGGCAGTAAAATCTAGCTTACTCCCTTCCTTTCTTCACAGAAAGTGCTACCATCTGGTGATAATCAGGTCCCCAAATAGAGTGAAGCCAAACTATCTTCTGGGTCATCAGTATTCACAGGCAGATGGGGTCCTCCATGGTGCCTCTGAGGCTGGAGATAAACAAGGGGCAGCTTTTGCAAGAGAATGGGCATCTAAAAGTCTGAAGAAAGGGCAACGATGGGAACAAAGGCCAGAGGTACTGTGTGAGGATCTTTTAGGACAAACAGCTGCATCTGAGTCTCAGACAGGCTTAGATATCTGTGTGTGTTTACTGTCTCGGTTACCTTTGGATAGAGTCCCAATGCCCCAGTCCCTTTCTCAAGCCATTCTTTTCTTCTCCCAGTTTCCTGGTCAGAAAAAAAAAAGAAAAGAAAAGAAAAAGCCAAACCCAGAGAATTCTTGTCCTTCCCATGGGTCAGGCTCCCCACTGCAGCCCCTAAGTAGAAACATCAAGAGCTGGACAAATTGATTTTGCTCAATGTCACGGCCTCTGCTAGCCAATAGAGAACTGGGCTGCAAGGACTTGAGGTTTTAGCCAAGAGGAGGAGGAGCAGGGGTGATGACAGGGAGAAGGCAGGAGGGGGTGGTGGCCTATGCTCAGAAATTGGCCAGTGTCTAGGGTCAGTTAGGCACTATGGGGCAAGGGTGAGACAATGGTGGCCTAAACAAAGGAGCCCTCGTCCACTAGGAACCAGCTGAGCCAGGCTTCTGACACTCACACACCTTGACTCTTAAGGGAACTGAAGGAGAAAGGAGTTGAAAACTGTAAACAAGAGTCCAGGATCGTGGCAATGGAGGCAGAGGCTTGGGCACAAGCCAGGAACGAGAATGACAATGAGTTCCTAACTCAGGAGCTCTACAATCAGCTGTCTGGCACTGTTTCTGAGGGTTGCAGCATCTTGCAAGCTCCGGAAATATACCAACAGCCTCTAGAGGCAAAAACAGTGGCATTCTTAGTGAAGTGGCTTCGAAATGCTGTCTATAGAACACTCACAGTGGGTGTGAGTTCACGCGTGCACACACACACACACATGACAAGTTTTTATACAGCTGTGTTAGTCAATCTTCAAAGAGCTTTGTTTTAATTTTTGAGATGAGGGGGTCCTCTCTATATAGCTCAGGCTAGCCTGAAACTTTGTATGTAGTCCGGAATGTCCTTGCCTCAGTCTCCGAAGTGCTGGGAGTATATGTGTATATGTGGGCATCACCATGACTGGCTTGAGAACTTCCTTTTACCCTGAGTATGTCTTTTTATTTCTCTACTAGATAATGATGGCAATATCACATAATAAGTTTTATATTTGTTTTCCCCTCCTCCTTGTCCATTGTTGTTTCAAGACAGGGTTTCTCTATGTAGCTCTGACTGTCCTGGAACTGGCTCTGTAGACCAGGCTGTATTGCGACTCAGCGATCTGCCTGTCTCTGACTCAAAGTGCTGGAACTAAAGGTGAGCACCACTATGCCTGCCTGGCCTTCCCTTCTGTTTTAAAAATAGGTCAGTGAGATGGCTCAGCAGGGAAAGGGGTTTGCCAACAAACCATGACCTGAGTTTGATCCCCAGGTCCCCCATGGTGGGAAGAAAAAACAGACAAATAACAGTTGTTCTGTGAACTCCAAACTTACGTAAAGACAAGTGCTCGAGCACATACACACACGATAAATAAATAAATGTTAAATCAATTCAATTAAATAGTGTTTCTTTGTCATGTATATACTTGGCAAAATGAAAAGAGTACCTATATTATGTCTATTCTCCAGAAAGATCTGTTGTCAGCCTGGACACAAAGCTACTATGTACAAGGTCCCCAGTACAATACCCAGCCCTGAAAAGTGAGTTTCAGGATACCCTGGGCTAAAGAGTGAGACCATGTTAATTCCTTCTTCCTAATTTCTGGAGACTATTAATGAAGTGGTGACCACCATGGAGTGTTCAGTCAGAGTTGCAGCTATCATTTTTCCATTTAGATTTCCAAATTTAAAAAAAAAACCCATAATCAGCATACCCAGACAAATTTGAATTTCAGATTATTATATGCATATCACAAATATAATAAGACACATGCTTTTTTGTTGTTATTTTTGTTTTTTCGAGACAGGGTTTCTCTGTGTAGACCTGGCTGTCCTGGAACTCTGTAGACCAGGCTGGCCTCAAACTCACAGAGATCTGCCTGTTTCTCCCTTCTGAGTGTTGGGATTAAAGGTGTGCACCAGCACTGCCTGGCCCTGAAATTCAATTTTTAAAAAAATTCTTATTAGTTTTATGTATTTAATGTATACGGATGCCTTGCCTACATGTATGTCTGTGTACCACATGTGTGTCTGAAGAGGGCATGGGACCACCTGGAACCGGAGTTATAAATGGCTGTGAGCCACCATGTGGGTGCTGGGAATCAAACCCAGGTCCTGCAAGAGCATCCAGTGCTCCTAACCGCTGAGACATTTCTCCAGCTCCTGAAATTAAAATTTAACTGAGGGACCCTGAGTTTTGTCCTGCAGCCCTCATCTGAAAAGACTGCTTCACTTTTTCGTCCCTTACATTTTTTACTAAATCATACTGTTGTTGTTCACAAAGCGACGAGCTGTGTGATTTCGAGCCCACCTCTAGATGTTCGGAAGTAGGACTTATGCAATCCTTTTCGTAGACTATTAAAAATGATGGAAAAAAAATAAGCTGTACGAACTAACTCTCTCCCTAAGGTGTGTTATCGTCGTTCCCAGCCCCAGCCCCAGAGGCCCGAAACTACATATCCCACAATGCCACACGGCGTCTCCTCGCCATTACCTCATTCCCCGTCGCTCGCACCAATCCCAGGCTCTTCAGGGGTGTGGTAGCCGGCCGTCCTCGCGACTTTTGCGGTACCCTTCCGCCGGGTGACTCCTGTCGCGAGACTTCCTGCTCCTCTGCCGCTCCCTTTACCGTCGCCTTTGCCGGGAACCCGGACCCAGCCTCTTCCCCCACCCGGTCACCGGCCCCGGCTCCACCGAGGCCTCGGTCCCCCAGCCCCGCCTCGCCGCCGCCATGGCGGACCCTAAATACGCCGACCTCCCCGGCATTGTGAGTACAGGGCCGGGCCCGGCTCCCCAGACCGCGCCCCCGATCTCCCAAGGACCCCCAACAGAAACCAGCCCGCGACCCCTCCCGCTGGCACCCCCTTCTCCGCCCTAGCGGTTACCGCCGCTCGCCCATCGACGGCTGCAGCACCTTCCGGACTGCCGACTCGACTGGGCCGGGCTTTTGGACTCCGCGTCTGGCCCCCTTTTTCCTGCAGTAGCCAGTTTCTCCGCCCAGGAATCGCCTCCGGGCGCCCGCCACTTGTGCCCGAGTGTTTGTATCATCCATGTCAACACTGTCCTGGTCGCCCCAAATGTCCCGATTGCCCGCCCCCGCATCCTTGCTCCAGCCATACTCACTAGGCCACTTGATGATGGCCTTCATCTCTCCAGGGAAGAGGTTACTGTCGCAGAAAACCTTGTGCCAATTGGGAGCTCTGTCCCTTGGGAGCACCCGTGCCTGCTCCTCATGTCCAAGGAGGCATTTACGCTTCGGTGGTGTTGGCCCTGTCCGTTTGCATTCTCAGGGTTGGGAGACTGGCCCATAGGACCTTGAGAACTAAGTACCTGAGTCACTCAACCCTTGTAACAGTGGAGTGGTATGCAGGGCAGGATAGTTACCTAGGACTGGCCTCTCAGCTGGGCCCAGGGTAGCATCTTTCTTTTCACATTGGTCATTTGCCCCAGGTCCCAGTTTGTCCCTGTGGTTGTCCCACTGAGGTGTGGGAGCTGACACCCTGTTGACAGTGGAAGTGGAAAACCGGTAGAATCCTTGAATCACAGTCCGGGTTTTGCATTAGCTTGTTCATAGGAAATGGGGACAAGAGGTGAACGCTGGGATAGTGAGATTGGGTGGTCACTGCTTCTACCTGCAGGCCAGGAACGAGCCCGATGTTTATGAAACCAGCGACCTACCTGAAGATGATCAAGCAGAGTTTGATGCGGTAAGACTCTGTGCTGCCTCAGGACCCCTCTCCCCCAGATAGGTCTTTTCCTTCTCTGGCAAGCCACAGCAATAAGTGAGTATGCCAACCCCAGCCTGGGTGATATGTAGGTCTCAGGGCCTTGAAAGGCCTTGCTGAGCTGGCAGCCATCAGTGAACAATGCCAGAAAGGAGGGTCATGCCAGTGGGACTACGGCTAACTAGACCTGCTAGTAAAATCCAAGTCTTAGGTTTTCTAAATACAATTGAAATATCTCAAAACAGTTACATTCTGGGTTAGTGATTAATTAGGCCCCTGGGTTCTAATCCATGCTTGGACTTTAATAAATTGTTTACAGTTGGAGTAGGCCTTTTTGTTTTATAATATATTTCACTCAGTGCATTCTGATTAGTACTTACCAAGAACTTGAATTTCAAGTACTAGTAGCCATTAGGCAAGGTGTAAACAAATGACTTGGAGACTTCAGACAAGTAAGAGGCCTGGTTAGACCAAAGTAATTTTGGGGAAAATACACAATGAACTCTGAGGAGTCGATGTGGATGCAGGAAAGGAATTATTTTGTATCGTTTAACAGAATATATCATTCTGTTTTGATTCATTCTGTGCAGAGGAAGAGGCGTCCTTGCCGCTAAGGAGCCCTTGACTAATGTGACCATCAGGATGCATACAGGAAATAAGGAGAGGAGTTAGGATACATGTAGGTAACATAAGAAGAAGCCTAAAAGGAATGAACAGAAATGAGTATAGTGCTATGGGGACAAAGGCCCAGCAATGGCTTGTATAGATCATGTTTTATTATTTCCAAAGAAAGTTGAGCTGGGCCCACATGGATGCTGTGAGACCTCAGTGAAGGTGTGGAGACATCTCAGCAGGCCCAGTATGTGTGTCTGTTAGTCCTGTGGCTGTGTCTGTGGGGCTGATTAGTTGTGGGGATTGTTGGTTGCTGGCTTTTATAATGATATGGCTTGGCATACTCACTTATTCCTTGTTTTGTTCTCCCCTGTGGGAGTGTCTCCTACATTGTGGGGAATAGCTTCTCTGTCCCTTCTCTCGGCAGTGTGTTCCTTGTGGCTTCTGTATTTGCTGGCATGTCAGTCCACTTCTCCCTCCTCCCCCCAGCTTAAGTATCTGGAGGTAATGCAGATGATGTCATAGCCGGGTACTTAAATGAAAACCTGTCCCTCCGAGAGGTGTCTTAGTTACCCTGTCCTCATAGAGTAGCAAAGTATGTAATGAGGAATTCCTGTACTACATCAATGAAAGATGGCCCAAAACCTGCCTATAAAATAACAAGCCCCTGTAGGGGACTGTCCCTTTCGCTTACTGTGATACAAGTGCACAGTGGTACCACAGCAACCCTGTCTCCAAACAAACAGATGGCATCATTATTTTCTTTTTGGAGGTAGAGAGGTAGCTCTTAATCATAAGAAGACTGTGCCCATTATAGGCATGATGGGACCTGAATATAAAGCTCCAATTGGCTCCTTTTCCTCACTGAGCCTGAGCAGCCTATTGCTGTAGCAGTTAATGACTGTAGAGGGAGGACATCCAAAGTTTGTTTCCTTCAGCATATTACCAGGAAGCAAGGGTCTATGGAAGGGCCTGGGAGCCGGATAGTGAACACCGGTGATTTGAAGCTGCTCTCATCACCATGGCTCAGCTCAGGGGTCAGAGAGGAGTGTATGTGGAGACCTTCAGCCCTTCAGGAGCCCGGAGAGCCAAGTTATTTCCTGATGTCAGCTAATGTCTCTGCCACCCCCCCCCCCACCCCCCATGTCCCTATGGGCCTTAGGAAGGCAGCTTTCGGGAAGTGAGCTGCATAATGGCTCTGCTGCTGCTCACAACACTGATGTAAACGTACAACATGATGTAAACGCTGCAGCTGGATGCTCCACCTACCTGGGACTGTGACTATGAGGTCTGGGTGCTGGCTGGAAGCATGCACATTTCTCATCTCAGCCTCTACTGGGGTCTCCAGATTGTTTTCAGCTTTAATTTTATTTGTATTTATTAAGTCATGCATGGAATAAAAAAAAAGAACATTTAAGGCCGTGTAGTGAAAAAATCTCCCACCTCTGCCTGTCATTCATTAGTCTCTGAGGACAACCAATATAGCCAAGTTGTAAATAATTTGGGAGATCTGCAAATGTTAATTTACTTTTTATTTTATTTTTTGAGCCAGGGTCTCGTTATCTCACCCTCTGTGGCCTAGAACTCCTTGGCCTAGAATTCAGAGATCCACCTGTGTTTTTCTCTGCTTCCCAAGTACTGGGATTAAAGATATTTGCCACCACTCCCAGCTTCCGGTGTTAATTTAAAGGAATATCAAGTAGAATGGCCCTTCAGTGTCTTTAACCTTCCTCTGATTTCTCTACTGCCAAAAAAATTACTGTGGAAGGAAATAATGTTCTTTAGACCTTGATTGCTAGTTTAACTTTGACATTACAGTATTAGATTCCCATAGTGGGAAGGGTGGGGCAGGAAAGAAGTAGGAGATTTGGTTTGTTTATTTTTCTCCAGAGGATCCCAATTTTTCTTCTATTCCTTTAAAACAATTTTAGCAGGAAGCAAACTACTTTACCACAGGAACAGGCCGGAAAACAGCAGAGGCTAGCAGCCCTTCCCTTCATAGTATGGGGATCTGCATTTCAGCCACTCCTGGGTTGGTTAAAACAATGTTTGGAAAGTTACTTCCCAAATGGAATGCCCTCCCCTGGGCCCACAGCCTGCCTTGGGTCTGTCCTTCATATAGTATTCCGCTCATGGCTAAAGCAGAGAAAATGCAGAAGGGCCACAGCAGCGCAGAACCCAGCTTTCCCTGTGTAATAGGAAGGAGGAGTTCCTGAGTCTCCTTGATGGGGCCCCGACTGACTGTCAGAGTATCATAGAACATGCTTGATTGTGTTCATTGACTGTTGGTGCACTTGAACTTACCCGAGTTTTTCCTAATGCTTCCCCTTCCTCCCTCCTCACCACCCTGCCTGGACACTAGTTTGCACAAGTAAGGCCACTCGCTTCTTCTCTGCATGCTGTGTTCATCTGCCCTCCTGCATGCGATGCTCTGCCACTTTGCAATCATTGTAGCTAATTGTTTCTAATTCCAGTGAGTCCCTCTGTGGGCCTCGCTGGCGTTGTGTCTAGAGATCATTTATTAATCCAAGTAGAAACACAACTATGATGCACGAATCATTGTGAATCATTGTCTTTCGCCTTGTGAGATCTGCAGAATAAAACTGGAATGAAGGAGGGAGTAGAAACATGGAGACCTTTAGACATGAGGGTGTAGACTTCAAAGGGGTTGCAAGAAAAGATTTTTATGAACTTGCCTTCCGCCATTTTAGACAAAGGTGGTGAACAAAGGGGAAAGCCAAATCCAACCCCACTTTGTAGTTGTTTGTTGATAAATGGAAGAGAAAGCACTCGTTTTAATATTCCCTTGTGCCAAACCTTGAGAGAAGCAGGGTGAGCGGTGACACATGCAGTTTTGGGTTACTTGTGCTTTCTGAGCCTTTGTGTCTGTCTCCCTCTTTAAAATGATGGGTGGTCAGCATTGCCTTGGCCCATCCTGAACAGTTTTACTCTACAGCTCTCTCCATGTTTCTTGTCACCATGGTTCTGAAGTCCCCCTGGCTGAAATATTGGCATAGATCCTGAGCAAACTCAGAGGTGGTCACCTTCCCTGTCTGATTTAGAACCTCAGGTCTTGTTCTCTGAGGCACAGCCACTAACAACTGTCTACCAGGTCAGCTGGTACCCAGGCTCAGAGCACCTAGAATTTTCTAATTTTGGTGGTATATTAAATTTCTATGGTAACTTACTATTCCATATTACAGGAATTATGCCCTAAGCCTCACCATCCCTCAACCTACTCATAGACTTGATATATACTGTAGCTACCACTATTCATCCTTGTTTCAGTTTTTGTCTGTCCCTGTTGTGCCATTCCCTTGTAGTTTGAATTTAACTTCATGGCCCATTGTCTTCCTCCCTCTGAGTTTCTCCCTTGCTGCTCTGAGCTTGCTGAGACCAAGTCAGACACAGGTGTAATACCAGGTTCTCTTGTGGTTTTGCACATGTCACCTGTGGGTACTCATGCCCACTTGTGTACAGTGACATCTTAGGGCCTGGAGTCACTTCACATGTGGGCTAAAATAAAAGAGGAGTTATGCTTGGGTTGTATTCTGGGTTTGTCCAGTGTATCTAAATGAACTATTAGAAAAGCACCTCTATCCTTCACCATCAGTTTTCTATTTGGATAATGGTGGTCAGTCCTCTACCTGTCCACCCACCCATCAACAGAGTTAGAAAGGCAGAGCACACTGTAGGAGTTTCCTTCCTGGCAATACGGAACCCATCCGTCTTGCTGCTCATAGAGCCTTGTCTCTGTGGCCTGGACTGAAGTAAGAATGTTTTGAAGTGCTCTCATCCTTCCCCATGTCCAGCTCCTGAGTCTGTTATCAGGATTGGCAGCTATGGATCTTGGGCTCTTCTGGGCTCTTGTGCTGTGGAAGAGTGGCAGAATCACCCTGCATCATTCAGAGCTGTAGCTGGGTGAATTGCCAGCCATTCAACCAGAGAAGGCAGGCTTCAACCCTATGAACTAGTAAGGGAACCCCCCCCCCCCCCGACAATTACAGGCCCCCAGTTGGTGACAGGCTGTTAGAGGCTTCACGTTCTGCCATTTCTACAGCTTCTCTTCCTGCACTTTTCCTGTTCTGCACCAGCCTGTAACATCTAACTGCTTGTGCCCCAACACTCCTACACAACCACTGCCAAGTGGCAAAGCCTCATGACATCTTCACCTCCAGAGAGGAAAGGGTCTCATGGTCTTCTCTCTCTTGGGGCATATTCTGACCTCAGCGAAAATTCTTGGCCCCCAAATTTTGCTAGGCTCCCCTGGGGCCCTATGGCACAGTGTTTGAAGACTGTCATGTAGTGCATGTGACAATTGCTAATAACAATTTTGTCTTTTTTTTCCCCCTCCCTCATCCCTGTTCCCCACACCCTTTCCTTTTTAACCCTTGATTTTCTCACCTCTGGGGAACCCACAAGGAGCTGGTAAGAAGCCCTGCCTTCCGTCTGCTTTCTAACGGGGTGTGCTGTGATGGGCAGTTGTCCTCTGTCCTTTTTTCTCCCCTGAATCTTTGGATTCCTTAGTCTGTCCCACCACACTCCGCACCCTGTTCTGTCTCACAAGTCTCTGTGGTGGCGTGGCAGATGTTTGAGACACTGGTGGACTAGGTGCCACCTGAAGACCAGCATGTGCATCCAGCGGCCCTCCTGGGGCCACTGCTCAGAGAGATGTTGAGAAGACGCAGCGTTGGGTGCCTTCCTTGCTCAGGACAGCACTCAGAACCACTGAGACTTTCCTTCTTAGTACTGATCCTTTGTTGCTCCTGTCTTCCCTGCTTAAGAGCAGAAACCAGAGAGTAGGTTCTCACTGGCAGAGCATCCTTCTGCAAGGGCGGAGGGGGTGTGGGCTATGATTTGACTCTCCTTATTCTTCAGGTTTTGGCTCCCCTGCCTTTTTCTTTCTTTTCTGTTTTCTTTTATGTGTATGTGATGCCAGAGGTCAAACTTGGGGGCTTGAGCATGGTAGCTTGACACTCTACCACTTAGTTACATCCAGCCTTTTATTCTTCTTCTTTTTATTTAAGATAGAGTAGAACAGCCTGACCTGGAACTCAAAAAGATCCACCTGCCTCTGCCTCCTGGGTTCTGGGATTAAAGGCATGCACCACCACATTTGGCCATCTTTTTAAGAATTTTTTTTTTGTCTGGTTTTCGGGTTTTTTTAGCAGAGTCTTGTTTTGTGACCCTAAGTGGCCTGCAACTCACCCCCCTACTTGAGACTTCCAAGTACTGGGATTACAGTGTGATCCGTTTCTTGTAGACCAGGCTGGTCTTGAACTCAGAGATCAGAGATCTGCCTACCTCTGCCCTCCCGAGTGCTGAGATTAAAGGCGAGTGCCACCACCGCCCGGCACAGCTTGTATTTTTATTATATATAACTTATTTTATTAATTCTTTTTTTTTTTTTTTTTTTTCCCTGGAACCCACAGAAGTCCCCCTGCCTCTGCCTCCCAAGTGCTGGGATTAAAGGTGTACAGTACAGGGTCTTGCTATACCATTCTCTAGTCCAGCTGGAGAATGTTATCCTCCTGGGTGCTGGGATCACAAGCATGTGCCACTATGCTTGTGTAAAAAGGAAATTTCTACCTCGTTGGCTTTTATGGAAATGACATGTTTCCAGGAGTCGGAGTCATAGGAGGCGCTTGTCTTCCTTGATCCGGCACCACCGGACAATTTAGACTTCAGAAACCACTCAGTTACTTGGCAGATGAGGACTTGAGAGGGAAAGAGGGTGGCTGGAATTCACAGGTCTCTCCCCTAGGACTTGTGTGGGGGCCACTGAGTCCTTTTGTTTTCCCTTGCTGTAAGACTCCTCCCCTCCCCTCTGCCTAGCAGTTGCCTGAAGAAAAGGTAAAGAAGGGAGCTGCTGCTTCCTTATCACCCTTCTCCCTGTCCCCAGTCTTTAGATCTGCCACCCACTCCACTCCTGATTCCTCCTGTGACTCAGCAGAGGTGAAGAATACAGCCTCCCTCACGCAGTAGCTTTCTCTCCAGTCCTGTTTCTCCTCCGCCCTGCTCCCCACATACCCCCACACAGGCAAAGGTTCTGTCTTGAATGCAGATAGCAGTGCCTGGGTAGCTAGCGTTACCCCAGAACAATTAGTTTAAGTCAGCACCTAAGAGATGGGCCTGGCCTTTTTTTTCCTCCAAGAAAGAACAACGGAAAGCTTTTTTAAGGAACTCCAATGTGTATCTGGAGTGGAGAGTCTTTTGCCCAGATTCAGGAAAGAGGTCTGGCCTTGCTTTCCTCCTGTGGAATAGGGAGGTGTTAACCACTAACAAAATAGCACTCCTAGGTCCTCCCTTCAGCATCCTAGTGGCCTTCCCTAGTTGGAAAAGGGACACTTATCCTGAGTGTCATCTTGATGCAGGTATTGGGAAGCAAGCTGCTGTGTAAGGAGGGAGCCTCTGCCTCAGGTCTAGGGTACCAATTTCCCCCACTCTGCCACTTCTCCCCTACTTGAGTGCTTGGGTGCAGCAGAGTCAGGGAAAAGAACAGATGCCATAGTGATCTGGGATGGGGGCTGTGCTCTTTCCATTGCCCAAGGTGCTCCAGGGGAGCATCCGCTTCTGCTCATTAATTGTAAGGTGGTTCTTAAAACACAACCCGATGAGCCCTTGAGCTTCTCCCTGAGCCATCTGACCCACAGTAGCCAGAAACCAGGCTTCTAGGCACACCCTCTGCCAACCTCCTTTTACATCTGAGAGCTGGTGTCTTACCTTCAGCAAGAGTAAAGCCTGCTGTTTTACACCCAGAGTGTTGGCCTTGCTGGCAGCCTTCCTTCCTCCCTTACAGCAAGGATGGGGAGTCAGCTTTCTGTGGACTTGCTCGGCCATTAAAGGAGGCTTACTCTTGGGAGGGTGTGGTTAAGGGAGGTCAGGATCGTTTCTTGCCCTGAGTGCATGGTGTGTGCTAGATAACTGGGAGGGGTGGGGGAAGGGAAGGAGGGAGGCATATATACAGAGTGGGTGGGGGAGGTTTCACTGCCTCTTTCCTAGCTAAACCAGGGTGTTAATATTTATACTGCTGAGGCCCCAGCTTCATCAGGAAGCCCACCCTGTGTGGGCAGCCTGGAATGGAACCACCCTTCTTTCCCCTTGGAAAATAGGCACCTGTGTCTTTATAGTTTGGGGTCATTATGGGACAGTGCAGTGCTGAGGTAGGAATGGGGCTCCCCTAACCTGAACCCCCTGTCCCCTCAGGAGGAGCTGACCAGCACCAGTGTGGAACACATCATTGTCAACCCCAATGCCGCCTATGACAAGTTCAAGGACAAGAGAGTGGGGACAAAAGGTCTCGGTGAGCCTGGGCCGACGTTGGGTGGGAATCCTAGAGAACAAGCATAAGTGGTTTCCTGTCCTTGGCACTCAGTGAGTGTGCCCTGGGGAAGGGTTCCCCCTGGTAAGAGTCTAGGTCTCTAACTGCAGTGGGCCTAGGCCAGGCACTCAGGCCAGGCTTCTTTTCTTGGCAGATTTCTCAGATCGAATTGGGAAAACCAAGAGGACAGGATATGAATCTGGAGACTATGAGATGGTTTGTTGTCTATGTTGATGGATGTGGGGTGGTGAGCTGGGAAGTGAGGAAGGTTAAGTTTTGTTTTGTGTTTTTTTAAGGTTTATTTTTATTCTGTACATGTAAGTGTTTGCATATATGTATGTGCACCATGTGTGAGCCTGATGTCTGGAGAGACCAGAAGAGAGCATGGGATTCCCTAGAAATAGGGTTACAGATGGTTGTGAGCTGCCATGTGGGTGCTAGACTGAACTCTGGCTTTCTGTGAGAGCATCCGGTGCTCTCTCAATTGCTGAGCTTAGGGGAGATAGTCTTGTGCTGAGTTCCTGAGGAACCGAGCAGGGTACAGTTGAGGGTTTTCTATCCCCCTCCTCTGGCCATCCCCCTTCCCTCTGCTAGGGCACCAAGGATTCAGGAATTGACAGGATGCCTTATGATGTAGGTCTAAGATTTGGATTAGTTCTCAAGACTCTGTCTAATGGGAGACATAGCATCTTGTGTGCTTGCTCTGTAGCTTGGAGAAGGTGTGGGCGTGAAGGAGACGCCACAGCAGAAGTATCAGCGACTCCTGCATGAAGTCCAAGAGCTGACAACTGAAGTGGAGAAGATCAGGGTAACTATGCATGCCCTGATTCCCTAAGCTGTGGGTTTTCAGAGTTTGGGGCTACAAATCTATATTTAATGCTGTTCAATTCAGTCTGCTGGGGGCAGAAGAGACGACTCAGAGGTTAAGAGCACTGGCTGCTCTTCCAGAGGTCCTGAGTTCAATCCCAGCACCCACATGGCAGCTGATAACTGACTGCACCTGGAGTTCTAGAGGATCGGACACCCTCACATAGACATACATTCAGACAAAACACCAATGTGCATAAAATTTAAAAATAATTTTTTCAGTCTTCGGTTGTAAACTCCACACTGGGGGTATGGTAGGGGGCTGGAAGGATTAAGAGTACTGATTGCATCAGGATAGCCAAGTGGTCTAAGGTGCCAGACTCAAGCTCAGCTTCCTGGGGCACCTGGGAGGGGGGATAGGGTAGGGAAGATCACTGGCTGCTCCTCCAGAGGACGCAGGTTCAATTCCCAGCACCCACATGGGTCCTCACAAACTGGTGTAACTCCAGTCCCAGGGGACCTGATGCCCCCTTCTAGCCCCATGGTCACTGCATGAACATGGTACAGGGACACACATACAGTCGCAACACCCATACATACATATAAATAAACAAACAAGCAAATAAACAAATAAATAAAACCACCTGGCTGTAGCTCTCTTTGAGGGGATAGCCATTTTTTCCTGCTTCATTTCTGCCACCCTCACTATCCCACCTCTTTTCCTGTCAGACAACTGTGAAGGAGTCAGCCATCGAGGAGAAGCTGACCCCTGTGGTGCTGGCCAAACAGCTGGTAGCTCTGAAGCAGCAGCTGGTGGCTTCCCACCTGGAGAAGTTGCTGGGACCAGATGCTGCCATCAACCTCACTGACCCAGACGGAGCTTTGGCTAAGTGAGTGCCTTCCTTGTGGAGAATCATTGCTGAGGGGAACTGTGGAGGACCTCAGCCAGACACAGACAGCAGGAGGCGGGAGGAGTTAGGAGGCAAAGGAGACAGAAGTAGTCCTCAGCCCCAGGTCATGCTGTTAATGTTCTCCTGACCCAGGCGCTTACTGCTGCAGCTGGAAGCAACAAAGAACAGCAAAGGGACTTTAGGGGGAAGGGCCACAGGTGGGACCCCTCCAGACAGCAGCCTTGTCACTTACGAACTACATTCTCGGCCTGAGCAGGACAAGTTTTTGCAAGCTGCCAAAGTAAGTATCCCTTTGGAGGATCAGGCCTGGGGATAGTTCTGGGGATGCCTTTGATTCCCCTTGAAGTTGCACTCTCCTGTCTCCCTTGCATATCTGTTTTTTGAGGCAGGGTCTCACATAGCCTAGGCTAACTTGAACTCAGTACCTCCCAAGTGGTACATCTAATTCAAATTTAAATTTAAAACTGTGCCTAGGCATGTGTTTCAAGAAAGGAGTCCCTCAGAGCAGGAAAGCAGAGGGTGGGGGTTGGGAACCTCACCTCCTCCTTCTCCATAGGTTGCAGAACTTGAAAAGCGCCTGACAGAGCTGGAGGCCACTGTCCGCTGTGACCAGGATGCTCAGGTCAGGGGCTGCCCCTCAGGTCCAGTGCTCCCCAGAATCTGGGAGGGGTCAGCTAGGAGGTGCCAGCTGGAACCAGGAGTGATGGAAGAAGGTAGTTAATTCTGTGAGGTATGAAGACTGATTTCTGTCCTCTGTTTCCCATCAGAATCCCCTTTCTGCAGGTCTACAGGGAGCCTGCCTTATGGTGAGTGTGCAAGAAGCTGGAGTGTTTGGATTATAGGGGCGATGGGAATGAATTACTTAGAAGTACTTTGGGGTTTATAGTGCTATATTAATTAGCTCCCATGAATTTTTTTTTTTTTTTTTTTGGTTTTTCGAGTCAGGGTTTCTCTGTGTAGCTTTGGAGCCTATCCTGGCACTCGATCTGGAGACCAGGCTGGCCTCGAACTCACAGAGATCCACCTGCCTCTGCCTCCTGAGGGCTGGGATTAAAGGCGTGCACCACCAACGCCGGGATCCCGTGAAATATTTAAGACCTTTTCCTAGTCTGATTCTTTTCCTGGTGACACTTGTGCAAAACCTTCCCCCACTCTCTAGGAAACTGTAGAACTGTTGCAGGCCAAGGTGAACGCCCTGGACCTTGCAGTTCTGGACCAAGTAGAGGCTCGGCTGCAGGTATGGAATGGAGTACCACCTGGGTCCCAAGTAGCTGGGACTTTGGAAGCCCTAGGTGTCTTCTCACCCTTAACACCTGTGCTTTCAGAGTGTCCTGGGAAAGGTGAATGAGATTGCCAAGCACAAAGCTTCTGTGGAGGATGCAGACACACAGAGCAAGGTCAGAGAGACCCTCCCAGCTCTATGCAAACCCTGCTCCCCCCAAGGGCCTCCTCTGAGTGCTAACATCAGCCTACAGACTCGGGTCTTATCAGTATAAGAGAAAGTCAAGGCAGTATTTCTATTCCTGGTCAGACCATGATCTCAGCATCCTTTCTGGGCCTTGTCATGTTCTTCCAGGTGCACCAGCTTTATGAAACCACACAGCGCTGGAGTCCCATTGCCTCCGCCCTCCCCGAGCTGGTACAGAGACTAGTCACCATCAAGCAGCTGCATGAGCAAGGTGTGAGGCTGCTCCCTAGGCATGGGGTCCTTTGTGTCCCTCACTCAGCAGTGGCCTCTGCTCTCAGCCGTGCCCCTCTTCGCTTCTCTTATAGCTATGCAGTTTGGTCAGCTCCTGACACACTTGGACACCACTCAGCAGATGATCGCCAGTTCCCTGAAGGACAACGCCACTCTGCTGACCCAGGTGTGCCAATCTTTTGTTCCATCGAAGACCTCAGAGGTTCTCCAGCCCTGCCTCAGAGGGCTCTGTTTTAAGCCTTTGAATGTCCATTCTGTTTTCATAGTCATAGGATCTTTGTGCCCAATCTAGTTCTCTCTAGCCTTGGACTTTGTTTTGGCAGAAGGTGGGGATGTCTCATTCTGGCTGGCTTGAAACTTTTTGTAGACCAGGCTGGCCCCAAATTTGTGACAATCCTCATTTCCTCCCAAGTGCTGGGATTACAGGAATGTGCTGCCTACCAGGCTTGACTGTTTGAGACAGGTCTTGCTATCTACCCCTAGCTAGCCTCAAAATCACAACTAAACAACCCTTGCTGCTTTAGACTCCCAGGTGCTGGAATTAGGCCTGAGCACATCCTGCTTTAATTTCACCTTCTTTATTCATCTTTTGGTTTCTAGTGGCTTTTTTGTTTTTTGTTTTTTTTTTTTTTTTTTTTTTGGCTTTTTGAGACAGGGTTTCTCTGTGTAGCCCTGGCTGTCCTGGAACTTACTCCGTAGACCAGACTGTCCTCAAACTCACAGAGATCTTCCTGCCTCTACCTCTCAAGTGCTAGGATTAAAGGTGTGAGCACACTGGAGGCAAGGAGGTCTCTGAGTTTGAGGCCAGCCTGGTCTACATAGCTAGTTCCAGGACTGCAAGGGGTGTGTGTGTGTGTATGTGTGAGAGAGAGAGAGAGACAGAGACAGAGAGAGACAGACCTTTAGGAGCTGAGCTTCAGGCAGTTTTTTGTGAGCTGCCCAGTGTGGGTGCTGGAAAGTGATCTGAGCCCTCTGCAGAGCGGTGTGTGCTCTTGATCCTGAGCCATCTCTCCAACCCTTCCACCTTATTTTTGAAACAGTCTCTTACAGAAATGTCTGGAACTCATTGCTCTAACTAGGCTTAGAGCACTCTAGGTCCCCAGACTCCAGTACATGCACATACACATGGGGGCATGGAGTTAAATACTGTTGTGCCAACTTTTATTTATCTGTATAGGTGTTTTTTCTGCTTGTACGTCTGTGTACCATATGTGTGCCTAGTGCCCAGAGAAGCCAGAAGGGCTTACTATAAACAGCTGTGAGCCACCATGTGGGTGCTGGGAATTAAACCCAGGTCCTCTGAAAGAGCAGCCAATGCTCTTAACCTCTGAGCTATCTCTCCAGCCCTGTGCCGTTTTCACACAGGTGCTGGGGATCTGAACTCAGGTCCTGATGTTTGCACGGTAAACACATTCAATGTGTGTTTCTTCTTTTGAGATTGCTGGATTTTATATGTAGGAGTGTTTTTTCTCCACACACATAGATGCATCATGTGTGTGCCGGTGCTGTGGAAGTCAGAAGTGTCAGATTCCCCCCACAACTGAAGTTATAGAAGGTTATGAGCCACCATGTGGGTGCTGAGATATGAATCTAGGTCCTCTAAGAACAGCCAGTACTCTTTTTTTTTTTTTTAAGATTTTATTTATTATGTATACAGTCTTCTGTCTGCATGCCAGCAGAGAGCACCAGATCTCATTCAAGGTGGTTGTGAGCCACCATGTGGTTGCTGGGAATTGAACTCAGGACCTCTGGACGAACAGTCAGTGCTCTTAACCTCTGAGCCATCTCTCCAGCCCACAGCCAGTACTCTTAACTGCTGCATTCTCCAGCCACCAGGCAATGCTCAGCACATAGCTAGTGCTCAGTTCCTATTGGACAGACTATTCTGCCTGCTGTAGGGAGATCAGTATCACAAGGCACCTCAAAACAAACAGGAGCAGTATGGTGGCTCAGCCTTCCTTTAATCCCAGTATACTTCCAAAGCAGAGCCAGGCAGACTTCTTGAGTTTGAGGCCAGCCTGGTCACCGTAGTGAGTTCCAAGACAGTTACATGATTCCCAGTCTCAAAATAGATAAACAAAACGGGGAAAAGAAAAAGCCAGGTATAGTGTTGCACACCTTTAATCCCAGGCAAAGGAAGGAGGTCTCTTGAGTTTGAGGCCAGCCTGCTCTCTGTGGCTATTTACAGGACTGCAAGGGCTCTGTGTGTGTGTATGTACACATATGTATGCATGTATATGAATATGTATATATTTTTCCTCTGGGTTTCTAAAATTCTGAACCAATGAAAACTTCGTCTTATTTGTTCATTATCATTTCATAAAATAAGTTAACAGTTCTGAAGGCAGAATGAATAGGAATTCTTAGTCATGCAGACCCTGACCTAAGTCAATAGTACTCTGAGGTTTGTTTGGAACTGCTGCTATAAACATTCCCTCCTTCCACCCACCCACACCCCCGCCCCCAACCTCCCTCTCACAACCAGAGACCCAAATTTGTAGCTTCCATTTCTTTCTTTTATTGTATCCTGGAACTTGCTCTGTAGACCAGGCTGGCCTCAAACTCCCAGAGATTCTCCTGCCCCTGCCTCTGCCTCCCTAGTATTGGGCTTACAGACTTGTACCACCATGCCTGGTTTATGCTTGCTAGGCAAACACTCCACCAACTGAGATGTGTATATATAATCTTAGCTGCTCCCATTTCTTTTTCTGTTAAAGAGAATTTCTTCTGGACACCCTTTATTGCCAGTGGACACCTAGACCAAACAAAAAAGACTTCTTTTCCCCCTTTGTAGGTGCAGACAACTATGCGCGAGAACTTGACCACAGTTGAGGGGAACTTTGCCAGCATTGACGAGCGAATGAAGCAGCTGGGGAAGTGAGCACTTGGGGAGCTGGAGAACAAATGGGGTAACCCTTACCGGAGCTCAGTGAGAAGCTTCCACAGGGCTGCCCTTCGAGCTCACAGCCCCATCCCACTGCACAAAGGGCAAGGGTTCTTGTTGCATGTGGGTGTAGACCCTCCCCTGCCCTGACGAATAGAGTGGTAGCTGGGAGCTCTTGATGGGAGCCTGTCCTCAGGCCCAGTGGATGAGGGTGTGGGCCCAGCCACATGCCAGCTCATGTCCAATAACTGCTTTGCCTGGTGTGGGGGAGGCCTGGGCCCCGTCCTCTAGCACAGCTTCTGTGGTTGGCTGTTAATACTGTACAACTGTTTCTGACCATTAAATGCTGTTGTACTGTGTAGCCTCTGCTGTGTTTCCTGGGTTTCCAAGAGGTAGCACTGAGACAGACATGCAGAGCACAACAGTCTAAGCCACACTATTCAACAGTTTCAGCTGTAATCTGTTCTTACCAAAGAACTAAATAAAAATGAGTACAGAGCCAGAACCAGAGTTTCAAAATATTCTCATCTGTTAAATTAAGAGTGTCTCCCATAGAAAAGCAGTGGAGGCCCCACAGGGCAAGTACAAAACAGAATTAAAACTCCCAAGGGTCTTGTCTTTACAAAAAAAGGCAGGAGGCAGCCCCTGGACAGCTGGTCGTGCTGGCCGCTCCGGTTGGACCACGTTGCATAATCGTCAGTCGCATCATCATCACCACGTCTCTGAGCGTTTTGATGGGGAGAAGGGGCAGTGTAGTGTGTATGGGAGGAGAGATCCAAAAGGTCCTCCGTGCCCCCTTACCCCTTCCTACATCCCAGAGGAAAGCGGAGGGAACCTGGCTACACTTTGAAATGAGGCTGTGTGTTTCAATCCTGGGGTCAAGGGTCAGGGTCAGAGGGGTCTGTGCTTTGAGCAACCTGAGCCAGAGGCAGAGGGGTGCTAGAGGGTGCTAGAGGGTGCGGGAAGATGCATGGTGCTTATTGCTTTGTACCTTTCACTGGGAAGGAGGCAGCAGCCAACAGTAGCTCAAAGGTTTGTAAACTGAGCCTGCTGGCTTTAAGAAGGGAGGCAATGAAGTCGAATTAAATATAAAAGAGTCATTTGTGCAAAAATAACTTAAACAAATAAAAGACCTGGGGAAGGGGTGTTCCCCTTAGCGCCTGATGGGGAGAGGGCCATATACCACCCCCCCCAGGCCTCTTCAGTGACATGGCTTTGGGGGGGAGGGGGTGAGCTTCCCTACCCCCTGCAATGGCTCAGGATGGGATTTGTAGGGGAAGGGGTTGCATTTGTGCTCTGAGTGGGGAGTAGTGCCCCCACCCACTGTCCACAGGTGCACGTGGCTGGCAGGGACTCCCAAGGCTCAGCACTCAGCTCTCCCCAGTCAGGGTCAGATCCAGCTCCAGGTATGGCTGCTATGGGGCCAGTTTCCTCCTCTTATTTTTGGCAGGACGTCCAGGGCGGGCCCGGGGAGGCAGAGGGACAGCCGCCTGGACAAGAGAAGTTAAGAGAAGTGACCATTAGCTAAGGTAACAGGAGTCTTCTTCCTCACACCATCTTCCTCTTGGCTCACCTCCTCATGCCTCTAACCACACATCCACCCCCAGCCCACACTTACTCTGGTTGTAGGGCTGGGTTCCAAGGTAACGTCCTGGCGGGAGCTACTGCTGTTCCGGGCAGGGCTGCAATAAGGGCACAGATGATCAGGAACAGCTCCCAAGCACCAGGTGAATTTCAGAAGGCTGGGTGAGAAACTGTCTACATTTGGATAGTAAAGGCATAATATCCTTATTCATATTCAAATATCTGCCATTTTTGAAAACCAAGCCACTATTTGGGGCTGGGGGTATAGCTCAAAGGTAGAACACTTGGCCTAACATGCATGAAACCCTGGGTTTGATCCCCAACACCACAAAAATAAAATGCCACCAAGCCACTATGTGGACATTTCTATAGTCCCAAAAGAGATGGCACAGGGGTGGGCCTCACACTCACTTGTATTTTCTCCTCCGGCCACGACGAGACTTTCTGACTGTCCCCGGGGCCACCTGAGGAAAGATGGGACAGTGTACATGGGAAAGTGAGAACCGTGCACTAGAGCCCAGAGCCTGAACCTTACATTGTCACACGTACCTTAAGGTCCTCAGAATGGGTCCCAGGAAGGGGTGGATCCTTGGGCTCAGCACCCCCTTCAGCTAGCTCCCCATTATGCTGCCAGTGGTGGGTCCTTCTTGGGGACCGTTCCATTTGTCCATTGAAGCCACCACGAGTCCCCCACTTGAGGGCCAGTCGGCCAGGCTCGCGGCGGCTGCCAGGCTTTCGGCCTCTGCCTGGCCTGGTCTCACCATTAATGCCCCTAAGTCCCCCTCCTCCCCTCCGGCCCCGTTTCCCTGACCCCCTCCCAGTGAGCAGCTCAGGGACTGGGGGGTCAGGAGAACCATGGGGTGGGGCTAAGGCACTGAGGGGAGGCCGGGCAGGCTCCGGTTCGAGGGCTGAGGCGGGGCTCTCGGGGGGCAGACAGGGGGCATCTGGCTGCTCTGGAGGGATCTGCTGGAAAAAACATATCCATTTCAACCAAAGTTTTCTGTCTCAGAAAACCTTCCCAGCTTTAAGAACATTTTCTTCTGACAGACCCACCCACATCTGCTCACCTGGAGACTCTGTAGCAGGCAGGCTAGGGGACTAGAAGTCTCTGACAAAGAGGGAGGCGCTCCCCCCCCAGGGAGGAGCTGCAATCCTAACTGGCTGGAAAGAAGAGGGCCAGGAGGCTGCAGCAGGCTGGGGAGGGGTCCAGGGCTGCTGGTCAGTGAAGACAGATCACCTGTTGAGAGGCTGTGGTCAGAGGCTCTCCCTAGACAGACCGAGCTGGGTTTCACCCCATGGTCAGAGTTTCGTCCCAGTTTTGACTGCTCTTTCTTTCTCACCACTCACCCAGCAGGCTGGCACTCAGCAGAGGGCTGAGAAGTTGGGGGGGTCTCCCTGAGTTGGAGGGGGCCTTGCCCAGAGTGGAGGCCCCCGGGTCAGTAGTTGCCGTGGTGACACTGGAGGTAGGTGGTCCAGGTTGGGGGGCACTCAGGACACAGGGCTAAGAAGAAGAGTTACAGCATGTGGTAGAGTGTTTGACTGAAGCCTTGAGTGAGGCAGGCCAGGCTTAATAAATACAGACTCCCTCTTGTACCCACCTGTCCCCAGCCTAGACAAAATCTTCCCTAGGGGTCTCAAAGAAGACCTCCCATCCTCATTTACCCCTCCTTCTGCCCCACCAATTCATACCCTAGGCCTTACCTGGGGGGGTGTCCCCGAAGGGGGATCCAGGCTGGCAGCCAGCAGCGCAGAATTTAAAGCTATGAGGGTAGGGGGGGCTGAAAGTGGGGGGAATAGAAGGGGCGGCAGGTCTCCCAAACCTGAAAATGGCTCCCCACTTGGACCCCCGGCCCCCTCTGCAGATCCTTCCCCGTCCCCAGCTGTGGGGCCCAGGGCCAACAGGGGCAGAAAAGAAGCAAGAAGATTGCTAGGGGGTGCAGAAGGAGCGGGGAGGAGGTCTGAAGGGGATGGTGAAAACAAAGAAGCCACCAAAAGCGAAGGCCCTTTGGGCTTGCCTGGGGCTAAGGGAGGGCCAGGTCCCCCTGGTGGGGGCAGCAGGGGCTCAGGGAGAAGCTGTCCTCCCCCAGCCAGCACACCAAATAAACTGTGGCTAAGTAATGGAGAAGGTGGAGGCTGTCCCAGACCCAGAGGAAGAGGCAAGGCCCCCAGCATCCCTGGGAAGCCAGCGCCACTGAGTGCCAGTCCCTGCTCAGGACTGGGGAAAGGGAAAGCCTCCCCACCAGCCAAGGGAGGCAGAGGGCAGGCTGGGCCTGCCCCCATCCCCAGCCCATCAGATGGGCTTTGAAGCACAGGACTGGGGACTACAGGGGCTTTGGAGGCAGCTGGTGGGGCAGGGGCACCTGTAAAAGAAAAGAAAAATCCAGCTCCAGGGAAGCCTCTTCCTGACACAAACCACCCCCACCCCCCCAAGAGCACGCTAAACTTCACCCAGTGCCCCGGATGACTGACACCCATGCTCAGAAACCCCCACAGCACTCATACCTGGCACACTGCTGAGGCTGCCACTGGTGGTCCCAGGCAGAGAGGGCTGAATGGGGTGCCTGGGCTGGGTAGGGCTCCCTGAGGAGAGGGTTGGGGGAGGAGGAAGGTGTGCATCTGACCCCAAAAGGTTAAAGCTTCCATCAGAGTGGGAAGGGTCAGGGGTGGGGAGTCCCAGCAGGGACAGCACAGAAGGGAGAATAGGTTGGGACGGCTCTGGGAGAGGAAAGGCCTGGGGAACAGGAGCAGGGGCCCGAGGACGGCTCCGTCTAGGGGTCTGAGGGCCTCCCCCTTCTAGCAATCGCAAGACAGTTGGGGGCCGGCGAGGACGCCGCTGAGAGGGCCGGGGTGATGAGTGGGAAGCTGAGGGTGCCTGGGCACGGGGCCTTCGGCCCTGTAAAGTGCTGGGAGGGGGCAGCGGGGGGTGCTGTGCCTTGGCCGCTGCAGAGAGTAGGCTGCTAGCAAGGAATGGGGGTGCCCCAGGCCCCTCCACTGTGGGGGCCCCTCCCAAGGATCCCAGGACCAAGGGCAGGTGCATAGTGGCTGAAGACACTGGTGGCTGAGTGGCAGAACCAGAGGGACCAGGGGGAGCAGGGAGATTATTGCTTGGGGGCAGGGGAGGCGGTGTTAAGGCATCACTACAGTGGAAGAGAGGAGGGTCTGAAGGTGGCGAGGAGGAGGCATGAGGGGCTGGAGGAGAGCCCAGGTCAGAGGGCACCAGGTTGGATCGGAGAGAGGCTCTCCAGTTGTATGAGGGAGCATTGAGGCTGATAGCAGGTGGAGGAGGTGGGGCTGGAGAGGGAGCATTGCCTCTTGGGAGGAAACAAGGGCTGCTGCTGCCCCCAGAGGGAACTGGATCAGGAAATCGTGGTGGTGGGAAGAGCCCTGCAGGGCCTGTTAGAGGGGGGAAGGACTGCGGAGCTGAAGGTGGTTCTTGGGGCAGGGAGCCAGGACCCCCATTAAGAGGAGTTGTAAGAGGAACTCGACAAGGAGGGCGGACAGAGGGGGGCCCTGGGGACACAGTGTGGAACATTTGGGGGCTTGCTCCCTCTCCTGCAATAAATGAGAAGGGAAGGGTCAGCTTGTGGGCCCCTTCCATGAATGTTCTCCAGCCCCAACTCCCCAGGTTCCCAAGCCTGTCTGTCTCACCAGGCAGCTCCCCACCAGCTCCATCTGTGTGCTCTCCCGTAGAGCTCATCCACCAGCCACTTCCAGGCCCTCAGGTTTTCCTCATTCTACTCTAAAGTGGCAGAAAAACTCACCAGGAGAAGAGTGTGAGCAGGTGGTCTCCATGCTGCGGTACAGAGTTGCCATGGCAACAGCTTTCCGCCTGTGGTTGCACAGCTTGGTCATGTCCTCCTCTGATGCGGGCCCCACCCCAGCCCCACCCGGGGTCACCGGGGCCAAGGGGTCAAAGTTGAAAACCTGTAAGGTAAAAGGCATGGACAGGGACACTGAGGGGGTGGAATATTAAGGTACCATGGTCAGTAATTTGGATTAAGTCTCCTGGCTTATGTCTATAGGGATGGAGGCCAGGACTCTGACCTTGGGGACATTGAGTGGACACTCCAGACCGCACTTGCAGGTCCCATCGCTGAGGAGGTAGCTCCGGGTTTGCTCCAAGGAAGACAGCTCTGTGCCACTTGGGCTGGGAAAGAACAGGGTCACGGGTATGGGGTTAACTGTTAGCCAGTTTGGAGGTACTTCCTACAGGACCGTTAAATGCTTTTCCGGGAAGCGCAAAGACATAAGTGATGTGAGAAGAAACAAAGAGTGAATGGCTTCAAAGACCCAGAGAGAAAGAGCAAAAAGGCTGAGGGAGACGGAGGAGAGCAACAAGGTCCCAGAAACTCAAGTTTTGAGAGGAGGGGTGAGGGCAGGAAAAGTCATGCAACAAAAGGATAACTAGGCTAGGGCAACTCAGGGGTCCCTGAGAAGCCATACCTGATATAGAACACAGCACCTTCTCGCACACAGCGCTGCCAACCGATGGGGACAGATGTGGCCACAGGGCCCCCAGCTCTGTCTGCTCCACTGCTCTCATTGCCCCCATTCATTGTGTGTAATCAGCTCCCGTGCGCCTGATAACACAGACATCCATGTGAGCACTAGGGTGATTAAACCGGGCTGGGTACCTGAGAATTCCAGGGAGCAAAGGTGGTGGGAGACCCAAGAAAATTCAGGCTTCCTGGGTGACAAAGGGAGCCCCCTCAGAGAGCTGGGAAGAAGGACCCTCTGCCACACCACTATGGCTACCTGAACATCTCTGCAAACATTGTGGGATCCAGTCTAAAGCCGGGGCCACCAGCTTAGCCCACACCTGCAACACAAGGAAAGAGAAGGGCCTCTCAAGAATCCACCTAACTCAAGAAAGCACCACAGCCCAGAACACGCAAGAAAGGTCCATAAATAACATGACGTGTGCCTGTAAGGACCTCAGGGGTCTGCTGGCCATGTCCACAAATGTCCTCTCCAAGCTCAGTTCCCTAGGGACTAAAGGAGTTCAGCGCCTCAACTCCCAAGGACCACCAAATCATACCCTAATTTCTTGACATATGAAGGACTAGTTCCCTTTGTCTAGGGGACAGAAGACTTCAACAGTAGTGTGGGCTAATTCCCATAATGCCAGGCCACTAGGAAGTTTCCCAGTGTCTGGCCACTGCTGTCCCCTCCCCCAGGAAGATCATATAAAAAGTACAGATTGCCCCACAGGTCACCAAACAATTGCCCAACTGCCTGGCAGGGTGGTACCAGCGGACACCCCCCTCCTTCCGTGACCACTCCGTCAGACAATCTCAGATCTAATTCATTTGGAGCTCTAGAGAGGCTGGAACCAAAGCCCTGCCTTCCTCCAGGATCCCGAGAAGCTCCTGGTCCTCCCTCAAGCCGAAGAAAAGGGGATCCATAATCAACCTCTGGCTTCCAATGAGCAACAAGAAGTATTCTCTGACACGCAGGGACGACCCTCAGACCTGCAAGCGTCCTCACCAACCTCACCATCGCTCCCATCGCACACTGACGGCTTCCAAACTTTCCCTCTCATAACAAGGCGCCCTGTCACCCAGACTGCTTCCTTCAGCTTGGGGAGGAGGGGAAGGCAGGCGCACGAAGTAGGAAGGAACTTGGGGAGAGGGCGGGTGGAGGGTGGGCGAAGCACCGGAGGGAGGGAGGTCAGGAAGGCACAAGTCAGGCAC